CCCCCTCTCCAGCGCCGCGGCGGCCCTCCGTAGGAGGAGTTGCCTAACCCCCAGGCGCCCCCACACCCCCGCGCTTTCTGCGCTCCACACTCCCACGAGTCGCCTACCTCTCAGGAGCCCACACTGGGGATGGAGATAAAGGAGCAGCGCGAAGACTGGCCGGAGGAGGGCACAAAGGAGAAGGTCATGATTAGGGAGGGCGATGCACGAGTTACGTGCATGAAAGCAGATGGCAACTGCCTATTCTATGCTATATCGCATCAAATGCACGCCCTGGGCTTGGTGGAGGATGAAGGCCCGGTCGAACCAGGAGACCTGAACCACTCCTTGCACTCCTTTGACCTCCGGCAGGCGGTAGCTCGGCACATTAAGGCCTACCCATACCAGTTTGAGGGGGCGCTCTTCTCGGCCGCCGCGGACGACCCGCCAGCATACCGGCGGTTCATGGCCGAGAGGCCGGACGGGAAGATGCACTTCGCTCAGATACATGAAGCGGCCCGCCGCTATGCATCCAAACTGTCTATGGACACAGTGTGGGCCGGCGAGGAGGCGCTTGTGGCGCTGGCCGAGGCCAAGCAGCTCCGCATTGAGGTCTATTATGAGACCCCCCACCCCGAGCAGTGGGCCGATACGCCCCCCGCTCTCACCTTCCTCCCCCAAAACCAGCCCCCTCGCGCCACCGTTAAGATTGTCTACAGGCTCAGCAAAAAACGCAACGGGCAGAGGGTGCACTACGACAGCCTGGAGCGGTTCCGAGAGAGGCGGAGAGCGAGAGCGGAGGAGGGCACCATCTTCGACCCCATCTGCATTCCCGAGGAAGAGAAAGAGAAGAAGAGGTCAAAGGGCACGGCACGCCGACGCAGGAACCGGGCGAGCCAGAAGAGGAAGCGGTCAGCCGAAGGGCCCAAAGGGAGCACAACCAGTGGCGGCGGTGGTAACCAGCCCGCGGCGTCGGAGCCCACCACCTCCGTGGTAGCGCCAGGGCCAACAACATTCCCGCTAAAGAAAGGTAAGGTGGGTAAGCCCTCCGTACTCCCCAGGAACCGTCCCATCCGCATTGCCACCTGGAACGTACGGACCATGTTCAAAGCCGGGGCGGCTAGGAACGTGACCTCCGAACTGCTGCGGATGGGGGTAGGTATCGCAGGGCTGCAGGAGATGAGGTGGGAAGGGTGGGGAGACCTGCGAATGGCAGACTACCACCTCTACTGGTCGGGACCAAGGAAGGGCAGCAGGAGGGAGCACGGGGTGGGCTTTGCAATACACAAGAGCCTCGTCCCAGCGGTATACGCGTTCGGCCCGGTTAACAAGAGACTGGCCGTGCTCCTCCTCCGCACCCAGGAGGAAAATCTTGCCTTCGTGAGCTGCCACGCACCGTGCAATTCTGATAAGAACCATGAGGAGAAGACCGCGTTCTATGACAGGCTACAGAAAGTGGTGAGTACAGTTCTCTCCAAGGGTGCAGTCAAGATCATCCTGGGCGACATGAACGCCCAGCTAGGGCCCATGAAGGACCCGAAGGACAAGAGAAGAGGCAAGTATACCTACCACACGGAGGACAACGGTAACGGTAACAGGCTCCTCTCCTTTGCGAGTGCGACGGCGATGACGGTGGTCAGCACCACTTCGTCGCGCCCCAAGGCGGAGTGCTTCACCTGGTCCTCACCCAATGGCAAGGTTGTCTCCCAGATTGATCACATTCTGGTAGACACCGCCCGGGCTGGGTGGGTAACAGGTGCACACTCCGAGTGGACTGCGTGTAATGACTCTGACCATGCCCCCGTCGTCGCGGCGCTGAAGGTGAAGGTGGCCGACTTCAAGAGGACACACACTGGCGACCTGCTCAAATCTCCTAAGAAGTTAAGGGTGGAACGGTTGCGAGAGGACGAGGTAAGAGACAAATTTCAGGAGAGAGTGGCGGAGTTATTACAACGGCGGCCGGGGGCCGACGAGGTAGTGCGGGCAGACGATGTCGTCGCTCAGCAGGAGGGAGGCGAGGAGGTGAGGGCGGGAGAGGCGGAGGAGGAAGTCGGCCCCCATGAAGAGGAGTTGGAGGAGAGCCTGGACGAGATCTGGCAAAGGATCGAGGCGGCCCTGCAAGAAGGAGGTGAGGAGGTACTCGGCTTGCAGGATAAGGTCACGGGCCAACCCTGGTTCGACGAGGAGTGCGAGACGGACATGGAACGGAGGAACGCCTACTGGAGGTGGCACCGGGAGAGCCCGGAGGACGAGGAGCTCCGGGAAGCCTACGAGGAGAGTCACAACACCCTCAAATCTACACTGAGACGGGTACGTAGGCGTTTCTTAGACCAGCACTGCCGGGATCTGGACGAGGCGCGCACACAGAACGACACCAAGAAGTTCTTCGAAGGCGTCAAGCGGCTGAAGAACGGCTTTGTCCCGCGGGCCACCATGGTAAGGTCGGAGGGCGGGATGCTCGCCGTGGAGGTAGGCCAACAGCTGGGCACCTGGCAGGGCCACTTCGAGAAGGTACTACGGGGAGCCAACGCCGTGCAGGCCGCAGGGGAGGAGGCACATGATGACCACGACCAGGACCCGGGCCAGAACACCTACGACGCAAGAGAGAGGACCCCCCCAACGCGCGAAGAGCTAGTGAGTGTGCTGGAAGCCATGAAGAAGAGAAAGGCGCCAGGAGCGGATGGCATCGCCATGGAGCTCCTGCAGTGTGGGGGGGAGGCGCTGCTGGACGAGCTTACCAAGCTCATGGTGAAGATCTGGGAGGAGGAGAAGATCCCCGTGGCCTGGGAGGAGGCAGTCATCACCGTGCTACACAAAGGGAAGGGCTGCATCTACGACTGCGACAACTATAGGGGGCTCTCTCTCCTCAACACGGGGTATAAGGTATGCTCCTGCATGGTTCTCCACCGACTGGTGAAATACGCGGACAAGGCGACCGGTGAGTACCAAGCTGGTTTCAGGAGAAACCGCTCAACGACCGACCACATCCATGCGGTAAGGACCATCATCAGCAAGCGGCGCGAGCGACACCTGGACACGCACCTACTATTTATCGACTTTGCCAAAGCATACGACTCCATCTTTAGGGAGGTGCTCTGGCAGAGACTGGGAGAGATGGGCATCCCTCAGAAGCTGATAGCCATGATGAAGGCCCTGTCCAAGACGACCAGGAACCGGGTACGGATCCTGGGCTTCTTGTCCGAGGCTTTCGAGACACTGGCGGGAGTCCGACAGGGGGATGCCCTCTCCCCACAGCTCTTCAATCTCGCGCTGGAGTCGGCCATCAGGAGAGTGATGTCTATGCTCGGGGATGAGGTCACTCTGCTTGCATACGCCGATGACATCGTGCTGATCGCGGAGACACGGGAGCACCTCACTATGGTCATGGCGTTGCTGATGGTGGAGTGCGCTAAGATAGGGTTGCAGGTCAACCAAGGTAAGACTAAGTACATGTACTCCTCCGCCAGGCCCGAGCTCCCCGTTATGCCCTTGGAAGTGGGGGAGCACTCCTACGAGGCGGTCACCTCGTTCCGCTACCTGGGTTCTGTCATCACCCAGGACAATGACAGCTACCAGGACATCAGGGAGCGCACCTTCCAGGCGCTCCGCAAGATGAAGGCGCTGCAGGCAATGCTAGGCTCCAAGGACGTCGGTAGAGAGGGTAAGATCAGGATCTACGAGGCCATCATCAAGCCCGTAGCCATCTACGGCGGCCAGGCCTGGACCCTCGATGCCAGGTGCCGGGAGGCCCTTCTCGTCTTTGAGAGGCAAGTACTGCGGTGCATGGTGGGCCCAGACCGCTCCACACCGGGGCACATCCGCATCCGGCGCATCGAGGAGATCCGCGACATCCTGCAGTACCACAAGAGCATTGTGAGCTTCGTGGAGGCGGCGGCGATGAGCTGGGCAGGCCATGTGGCGCGAGCGCCGGCCGACAGGGTGATCAGGCAGGTGACTGACTACCAGCCGGCCGGGCCCAGGGGCAAGGGCAGGCCCAAGAAGAGGTGGACTGACTACATCAAGGAGGTGGCCCGGGGGGAGGGGGCGCAGGATTGGGAGGAGGAGGCTCAGGACCGGGAGATCTGGAAGGGCATCTGCCGGCAGGTCAAGGACAGGCCCCCACCGCCGATCAAGCGCCCGCCAGCGAAGACATCTACCGTCGACAAGGCGGACACCGGCACGCCCCCCACAGGCGCCGCCGCCCCCTCAACAGCTAACCCTTTGAGTGTTCCAGGCACCCAGCGGCAGCGCAGCGTGCACGCAGACAGCGAGGAGGACCTGGATGACCCGGGGCTGCGAAGGTCACCGCCCGCCCGCCAGCCGCTCCGCACGGTGCACTCCCTGAGCGACAGCGGGTCAGAAGAGGAAATCACGTGAACCTAGTACTAATGAGCCATTTCTTACAGCGACACCAGGTCAGAAGAGGTAGTCAATTGAATCTAGTCCGGCTAATGAGCTCTCTCCCACAGCAGCTGATACGCCGAAGAATTAGTCACCTACTCTAGTCATGGGAGTGTGTTAATATGCCCCCTTTACAGGCCAGCAGGGGAGGGAGAGGGGGGATGCACTAAGTCACTGCACTGCACTGTACTGCTAAAACAATTCATTTTTAGGTACCTGCAATTTGGAGGTGGGGGACCCCCGGGGCCAATAGGGAGACCGGACGCCTCGGTGCGAGGTCGCGGCCCGGGGCGCCCCCCCTCAGTGACCCACCTGGGTGGCACAATGAGTGTCGCTCAGTATTATAGTGCGGTCACGTAGGCAGCCTCACTGCCTACACCGGGTGGCTAGCATTGGCCTGGGCTCGGATTACCGTCCCTACTGTGCCACGCTTGTAGCCTGGAGTAATACCGCCGCTAGGCGATGGTGACTAGCGATGTAAGTCTGGGCACCGCCGGAGCTAAAGCAGAGTGCAGAAGGGGTGCCAGCATTTGCGAACCCACGGACGGGACGGCACTAGCCTACCGCAGGGGATGGGCCGGATCCGGCCTGACTGCGTGACCCGAGAAATGGGTGGCTCCAGTTCGCTATGAACAAGCAGTCGTAATAACCCTTGTTGAAGTTGAAGTTGAACCACCACCACCACTGCGACCGCAGCCGCACAGCACAAAGTTGGCTATGGTGGCGCGGCAGCGTCCGGGATTGCGGGTCGGGGGGGCGCGATGCGCGGCGTCGCGGAGGGTTGCCTAGATATAGGGGAGAGAGAAAGAGGGGGTAGGAGGGGGTTGGTAGGAATATTATTGTGGTGTTGTGTCGTGCAGCGCGACCCATGGCAGCAGAGATGTTGGCGTGTTCCGGACATCCTCCTCCTGGCTCGGTCACACACACACACACACCACTACACATTCACACACACGCACACACAACTCACGCTTTCTCACACTCGCTTTCTATAGGTGAGTGAGATATTACTGTGGGGGATCGCACCGCCGAAGGGGGGAAGGCGTTGCGAAGTCCCCCCGAGTCAGGTGTCCGTGCCTGTGATGCACACAGCGACGGTACAGTAGTGGCTCCGGCCGGCCCGGCGGGGTGGAATGTGATCGTCCTTACCGTGTGTGCGTGTGTGTATGTGTGTGTGTGTGCTTGGTCACCTGATATCGATAAACCTCGGGAGGCCGCGGGCCTGGCTTGGCGCGCGCGCTGGTCGGTGATTGGGACCCGCCCAGAGAGAGCCACGCCCAGCAAACAAAAACACGTAACGCGACGCCCGCCGAGTGTGGGTATGTGCGAAGTGTGGATAGACAGAGTGAGCGAGAGAGGGAGAGAGAGAGAGTAACCGAGAGAGAGACAGTAACCGACAGAGAGACAGTAACCGAGAGAGTGAGAGGGAGAGAGACGGTATCCGAAAGAGTGAGCGAGAGAGTGAACGAGAGCGAGATCGCTCAAGCTGCTCAATCGATTTGAAATAGGGTCTGCGGGCGGGACTCTAGCCCCCCGGCGACTTGTCGCGTGGTGTGGTGCGGAGTGTGGCGGCGCGTCGCGCGGCCGTGATTCGTCGCGTCAGCTCCAGCTCGGCTTGTTCACGCCACTTCTCGCCGGCTTTGCCCCCCTCCACACTCACTCACACACACTGTCGGCAACTTTGGGGGTAATAGTCCAGTCATATTGTGTTTTGACCCGGACAAAATTCCGAACAGTACCAAATTTTGGGGATCGTTTTATGGACCCCTAACGAAAGCCTAGCCGAAAGTCCCAAAGAATCCCATCGTGCAGATCGGCTCAAATCGTGTTCAAAGTTCAAAATTTTGAACTTTTGCGACTTTTTGGTTTTTCTGGTCCCACAGCTGAAC